AATTTAAATAATTTGTAAATTTGTTTTTAAATAATTTAAATAATTTGTTTTTTCTTTCTTTCTTTAAATTTATTTTCCCTTTGATCTAATTCTTAATTTTTCTATTTTATTTTCAATATCAACAGCAGTAAAATTGTCATATTGCCAAAAATCCAGGTGGCTGCTGGGAATCCACCTACAACTCTATCGCAAAGTGACTCTATGATGAAAGAGCCTGATATGGTAAGAATTTCGCAAACCACGATAACTACTTGAAACCTACCAAGAGGAACGGTTCTCCGCACACACTGCATGGATATTAGCCTTATCAGCGTGGAAGGTCAGAACGCTTACGGATGTTGCAAGCCAAGCGATCACTGTCCATACTCTTTCTAAGTGTCATGTGGATATCGCTTGCTTGCCGAAGGTTCATGTCCTTCGGGCCTCGAGCAATTGCTGACTCTGAGTAAAGATGCTGGCTTTATGGTGTTTCGGATAACTCGAGGCGAAATAACATAGTGATTATCATATTTGAAGAAGCCTATTCGTTTTGATTGAGTGGAAGCCAGCAAACAATCGTATGGCCCAGATTCGCTTTAAAGTAAAATTCTGCAATATTTCGATATTTCATTAGTGTATATGCTCCAAATTTACACAGATGATCAAGGCAATGATAAGTTCTATGAGGAAATTCAACTATTAACTAATAACTTCATTGAAAGGTGATAATCATTATCCGGAAAAATTGGAATGCGCGTGCAGATCCCGATACCACCACAATGAACTCGATAATTGGCAAATATAGCATCGAGGCCCAATGTGTCCATGGAGAACGTTTTGCAAAAGAGCAAAAACTTTATTATTACTAATACATATTTCTATTATAACTTTATTACTAATACATATTTCCGAATTTAGATTGATTATACGCCGTTGGAAGAGTTCGGTACTAGATAGTAGTTCCTATCACGGTGCTAAAATGGGAAACCTTCATAGATCGAACAGTGCTATAGTTCAAGCCAAGATTCGCATAAAACTGACAACTCGCAAAAAATAGCATCCTCCAAGATCCTTAAACTATCTCAAGCTGAAAAATTCGGGGACAGTGAGCGCATTTCAAATCGAATTATGGAAGCATCTCAGAGATACAAATATGAATGATTTTTCCAGAATAACAAGTGAATAGTGGCCTCAACTAAAGGAATGTCTCCGAAAGTCAGTCACTTCTACGCTAGGGCATACTAGTAGGAAGTGTGCTAGTCGAGTATCGGAATTAACTGTCTAACCTGTCTGAAAAAGCTGCCAAAGCGCTCAGATCCTGAGTACCGGATGCTTCGAAGATTTGTAACGAAGCAGCATGGCGGGACAGAAATCACTATTGGAGTAACATGGCCTGAAGAATGGAGACGGCTCGGTTAGATGATAATAGGAAACTATTCCGCCTTCTTTATAAAGAATTCTAATCACGGTAAGAAGAATGTTGGAACACTGCTTCGAATATCATAATCATCGTCACGGGTTTGATCGACTTTCTAGTTGCATTCAATTAAAATGGACATTGCTTGTCGGCAATCAATAGGTATAAAATCCACAACATCGTATACAGATCCTGAAAACGCTGATAATGTAGTCCTTTTGCTGATAATTATGGCGAAATGCAAATAAGGCTAAATAATGTGTCGACAATTGCAGCGAGATTCGAATGCAGCATCGATGAACAGCTCTCCAATTGCTACAAGGGTAAGGCGCTTCCAAGCTGCTGATCTAATGCCAAAGACCAGCGATGTATGGGCTTAAACGGCCTAAATAGAAATGGCTCCTATGACTATTAGCTTGGAAGCGCCTTACCCTTGTAACCATGTGAGAGCTGTTTAAAGAACAAGAAAAATGCCTGGCCACCAAATTTTATTATAATTCGAAAAAATCAACCTTCGTTTAAGTATTATAGTTTTCTTTTATGTATAAATAGATAATCTATACAATAATTTGTTCGTGATCACCTGGATTTTGAAAGGTTAAATTCTGCTGGGAATCGGTTTTTCGAATGCGAAGAACAACTCAGTGAGAGAACAATCCACTCTACTCTTAGTATGGCAACTTAAAATGCAGAAAGCTTGTTTTATTTCCTCATTTATTTCTTCCTAACAATATTCCCAATCATCGTTAAGCAGCCTTCCCGAAATAGTTGTTATCCTAAAGTTATTTCTAAAGTTATTCCTTCTCAGGGTCCACACAGCGCCAAATCACTCTGCCTTAAGTCTTTAATAATAAGTTCCTCTTAACCTTCTATACAATTCTTGATATTGCACTTTATTTCTTTCATGCTTCATCAAATCTCGCTGTAGTTCCATATTATATCACATTACCATATATTTCGTTATATGACCCTAATCTCCACTAACTTCTAAGATACCAAAATCCTTGGCTCTTTTACTATTCCTATCCTCTCGAACCACATTGTTACTGCTTCTTTTCAAAACCACTTGTGTCAATCGAGCTTTCATGCCACGTTAACCTCAGAGCGGCAGTCTATCACACTGTAACGAAAAACTGATTTCTGCCTTACCCCTTCCCCTGCTCCGTATTTTCTCCGTATTTTCGTATTTTCCTTAATACCCAAAGCAACATTTTACGGGTTCGTAGGTCTCACACGGTTGCATCCACTTTCTCTCAAATTCCGCCAAAAAAAGGATCAATTAAAGAAGATAAATTTTAGCACCTATTATCACTTGATAGTTCATCGCGTTAACATTAACAATTCGTCGGTTGCGAACATTCTTTCGATCCGGGACGAATAATAAATTCTTATCCGAAATGGGATGTTATAGCCACGTTTCTTGATTCGAGTTTCGCAAGATTTGAGAATCTCAGACAAATTGTTTTGGGAATAAAAAAAGGTTAAACCAGTATCTCTCAATGCGTTGAACTTTGACCTTTTGTTTTTTTCCGGGTTCTTAGGTCGTTCGGCTTTTTTGTCAAAGCAACTTTCTGGCCTATTTTATTAATTTATTAATTCAGTAATTTATTACTAGTTATTTTTTAAGTAATTTTCCATCTTTTTTAGTTTTAATTTTAAATTATACTAGTTTAATTTAACTTTATTTAACTTTGTTTAATATAATTTCGCTTGATTTAATTTTGCCATTTCGCGTACTGATGGAGAAAATGAAAAATGAAATACGGAAAAGATGGAGAAAATATGCAGATTAACATCCAAAGGATTGTCATCAACCTTTTCTTGATTCTCTTCCTGAGAGGTTCTGGTGAGGGATTTCAATCCGTGTGGGAGTTTGGTGACGCGTATTTACATTTTGCTGGAAGCTTAGGTCAATTTTCAAAAGAAAAGCATGGAAGTTTCTAAATATTTATATAGACAGAGAATATTATAAAAAAAAGCCGCATAAAATCTCTTCAGAAGATGGTGTTGTATATTTTTTCAATTATTCAGAATAATTTTTCATTTTTTTTCCAAATTTTAAATCTTGAAATTGTTTAAATAATTTTCATTTTATCAAAGATAAAAGATTTTGAAATCATTCAAAGATGATGCGAGGAACACCAGTAATTGTTTTAAATCAGTCTACTCAACGGGAAAGTGGACATTCTGTTCAGCTGGCGAATATTAATGTGGCTAAGGTATTCATTAGGATGTTTTCTTTTCTTTGATGAGAATTTTTTGTCGAATTTTGATTGTTAATTTTGTTCAATTTGGCCGACGATTACGGCAGAAAGATAATTTTAGACTATCGCCGATGTTATTAGAACGAGTCTCGGTCCTCGTGCTATGTTAAAAATGGTAATGGATCCGATGGGAGGTGAATTTTTATATCGATCTTTCTAAGTCTTATTGGGGCATGAATGGTTGGGTGGTATGGTTGCCATTTCGCTTTGCGTCCATTATCGTAGGTGCTGTTTCTCACTCCACGATAGAAATAAACCGATTATAAAAAGATATCTGGGCAGCGCTGGAAATATCTGTAACTATATCTTCATTAAATTCTGTAACGAAAGCCAGGAAAACCAGCTTGGTTAATAATGGTGAGTGCTTATAAAAAGAATAGTTTTTTTTAAAAATTTATTAAAGGTCTGGTGATAACCAATGATGGAAACGCAATATTGCGTGAAATTAGTGTGAAGCAAGCTGCTGCAAAATCAATGATTGAGATTGCCAGAACTCAGGATGAAGAAACTGGCGATGGAACGACATCAGTTATCATATTAGCTGGGGAAATAATGTCTCAGGCTGCACCATTTATTGAACAAAATATACATCCAACAGTTATAATACAGGTGTAGATTTATCTGCCATTATTTTTGAAATTTTCTTAAACTCTTGTACAACTCTTTTACAAATCTTTGTTATTTAATCTTTGTTATCAGTATATTTTCAATTGTAAATTGAAGATGTATTGTGATCTACCTAGTTCGAAGCCCTACCTGGTGCCCAACTGATTCTCTCGCGAAATAGTATATACTGATAATATACATTAAAAAATTAAAAATAATTCTAATAATATTTAATCAACTCTGGCAGAAATATATCTATCTTTCCAAAATCATGATCATACTAGCAACTAAACTGTATTTTTATTGTTAAGTGATTTAGCGAATTTTGTCTTGTCCGACAAGCCAGTAGAACGAATCTTCATATAACCCGAAATGATAAGCAGTCTTAGAAAAAATATATTTAATAGATAGAAAATTTTAATGAATTTTCGATAGTTATTGAATTTATCTTGTTGCATGGTTTTTTATTTTATTTTAGGCTTATCGTATGGCTCTTGATGATATGTTGATTCTCGCTGAAAAAAAATTCAGGTAGTTTTAATTTTCGTGTTTCATCAATTTTGTTAGAGAATTCTTATTGTGCTAATTTTATTGATAAAAAAAGCAATATGAAAATTTTCTTTATTTGTATTTTTTGGAAAATCTAATAAACTTTTTTGATTTTAATTGCCATAATTTTACCAAGATATTAAGGAAATTAGAGATCAGAAAAATAACTGGATGAAAAGATAAATTTGCTGAAATAAAAAATTTTTAGTAGAACGATTGATGTGAATAATGATGAAGAAGTTGCTATAGTAGTGAAATCCTGTTTGGGAACAAAAATGTTGTCTAAATGGATGGATTTGGCAGTGAAGGTTGCTCTTGATGCTGTTAAAACTATCAAAAGAGATATTGGCAACCATATGGAGATCGATATAAAGCGGTATTGCAGAATTGAAAAAGTAATTGGTTGCTATTCTATTCTTATTTTTAATCCTTGCAGTTTCTTCCTTTTCACTGATAATTTCGATTGTAGATTCCAGGTGGACGTGTTGAAGATAGTTGTGTGTTGCGAGGTGTTATACTGAATAAAGATGTGACTCATGCCAAAATGAAACGAAAAATAGAAAAACCACGAGTTGTTTTACTTGACTGTAATCTTGAATATAAAAAGGGTGAAAGTCAGATGTCTCTGGAATTGATGAGGGAGGAAGATTTTAGCAAAGTTCTTGAACAGGCAAGCTATTAGCTTATTTTTCTTTTAAATATTTTCGATTTTCTAATATTTTTGGTTTAAGAAAGGCTTTTACTGCAAGCTATCACTATTAATTTGTTTACAAATGTTTTTATAGGAAGAACAAGTTATTCATCAAATGTGTGACGATATTATCCGCGTGAAACCAGATGTTGTCTTCACTGAAAAAGGAATTTCAGATTTGGCGCAGCATTTCTTAGTAAAAGCGGGCATAACTGGCATTCGCCGTGTTAAGAAAACAGATAATAATAGGCTTGCACGGTTGATTTTTGTAGTATTTTCTGCATTATAACCAATATATTTGGTTTATGTTTTTTTACCTGTACGTATTCCACTGTTTGATTCTCATTTAATCAAGTTTTACTTTAATTACATTTAATAATTCGTTCAAACGAATCCATTTTCCTGATTAATTTAGTGTCACTGGTGCTACGATTGTAAACGACACACAAGACTTAAGAGAGGATGATGTTGGAACTCTTGCAGATTTATTTGAAATATCAAAGATAGGTGATGAATATTACACTTACATCACGTCTGAAAAAACAAAAGCAGTAACATTATTACTTCGAGGACCCAGTAAGGTAAAGTAGAAATCGATTTCTGATTTTCTCTCCACTTTTTGCTTTTAATAAGTTTTAATAAATCATTGGTTTCATTTTTATTTAGGACATTATTAATGAAGTGGAGAGGAATCTACAGGATGCACTCAGTGTTGTTCGTAATGTTTTCATTAATCCTCGACTTGTACCAGGTGGAGGCGCATTGGAAATGGCACTTGCTGAGGCATTTTTTTTTTTATTTTTGTATTTTTCCAGTTTCTTTTTATTCTATATTCTTTCCGTGTACTGCCGTAGAACTCTTTCTTTTTATGTCTATATACAAATAAAATTTCTTTCTCAACCCTATGTGGGTTGTTATGTTCTTTCTCTCATTCTTTCTCTCAATCTCAGGTTCTTTGCCAGAAGCCTTGGAGATTGAGGATTGAGGATTGAGGATAATATCGCTGTTCCTAATAATTTTTTAGAATAGAGATCTCTGATATTGTTCCTCGAATCTGCTGAAGCCATTTTTTTAGTTTAGAGGTCATAGTTCCAAGTGCTCCAATTATTGCTGGAATTATTTTGGCCTTTATTTTCCACATTCTCTAGTTTCTTTTCCAGCCTTTCTCTGACTTCTCATATTCCTTTTTCCTGACGTTCCTTGGTATTGCTGTATCTATCACCAGTGATTCTAATTTCTGATTCTTATCCATTATGACGATATATGGTTGATTGGTTAATATTTGTTTGTTTGTTTGGATAGGGAAGTCCCACAGGATTTTCATTATTATCTGCGATTTTCTTTGGAATTTTCCATTTAGTCTTGGGATGGTCAAAGCCATATATAGAATAGATGTTTCTGTAGATGATGCCAACTATTTGGTTATGGCTTTCGGTGTATGTTATTCCTGCTTGCATATTACCTCCTGCCATTATGTTTCTAGAGTGTTTTTATACAGTCTGGATGTGTAGTCCTGTCTAGTTTGGTAGATCCTTGTTTCGTTGGATCTGGTGCTTACGCTTGTACTGCTATATCTTTTTATATATATTCTATATAGTATGTACATACATATATACTTTCTATTACATGATTGTGAGTTCCAGTTTAAATTTCTTGAATTCGATTTGTTCAATTTCTCTTCAATTTATTTTTGAGGTACAATTTTTACAAAACAGCAAAAATTTACGAAAATTCCAGGCTTTAAGCGAAAAGGGTAAATCTATTGAAGGAGTTCGTCAGTGGCCATATAAAGCAGCAGCTAGAGCACTTGAAGTAATTCCTCGAACCTTAGTACAAAATTGTGGTGGAGCTACTGTACGTCAGCTAACGGCATTGCGAGCTAAACATGCCCAGGCAACTGAAAATTGGACTTGGGGAATCAATGGTTGCACTGGCGAATTGGTAAGTTGGTTTGAATAATTCAAATTTTTTATTGATGCCAAAAAATTTTTTTATAGTAATTTTATAGGAATCATCTGAAAATGTTGATCTGAAAATGCTTTTGTGAACTATTTATTTATTTAAGAAAATATTTTGAAATAGCTTTATTATGTAGAATATATGGCATATTTTTTGTTAATAATTTCGTCTTTTAGATTGATATGAATGAATTAGATATTTGGGATCCTCTGTCGGTTCGACTGCAAGTTTTAAAAACTGCCATCGAAACATCTGTTATGCTATTACGTGTGGATGATATTCTGTCTGGTGTTAAAAAACTTAGCGGCGATGATACAGGAGCAAGTGGAGGCGCTACACAAGCAGATTAATTATGTTGTTAAATAAATTAGTTCAATTTCTTATGGTTTCTAATTCTGAATTTGGCTTTTTTATTGCATTATCAAAATTTCATTGCTTTTTATTATGTGAAAATAATTGTTAATCCAGAAAAGCAAAAAATTTTTGCAAAATAAATGATTCCTATCTTCCTACTGCTTTAATTCAGGTTCGTTTAAACTAGTTTTACCATCCGCATTAGGAGATAAAACTAGCCTAGAATACAGTTTTTTATGTTCACTACCATATTATTGAACGATTTATGATTTATAGACATCAAAAAATATTGTCGAATTTCTGCTATTCTAAAATATTATTCAAACTGATTTATTTTTTAAATATTTGAATTAAATTTTATAAAACTGCATAAAACTTTTGGTAATTGCATGTTTAAGCAACAAAAGTGGTAATTCCAATATTTTCAAGGTTGACCTGGAAATGATTTTTACGTTTTTGCCTATCCTGTTGTTTCGTAAGTAGGTGTGAGAAGAAAAGTTGCAAGTATTGCGAGCCCTCAGCGATCTTAGATTTTCGAAGAGATGCAGTTTTTTTCAATAAACATAATAGAATGAAACGAAAATAGATATTACTGAATAAAATCGGGAGGATTGTTTCCAGCATATTAAGATTTTCAATTCATTTTTATTTCAGTTTATGGAAACAGTTAAGCCACAAAAGGCGAGAGTGAAGTCAAAAATTTGCAATAAAGATACGACACTGTCTCCGCCATCACTTAACGATTCGTTGGAACGAAATCCAGTTACATTAAATAAATTGGACCATAGGCTAGAAGAATTGCGAGGAACATCTGATGAGGGACATCATACTTCAACAATTATCCAACAATTTGAGGAAGGGAATGTTAGAAATTTCTTAGAAAAATCCTATCAAATAACTATCGAGGGCCCAAACATTGACGGAGGTGAAAAGGAATCTGCGGAAACCAGGTAAAATTTGTTTGCTGGGTTATGTTTAGTGGTATTGCTTCAACTAATATTACTTCTAAGGTAGTAGAATCAACCACTGCCGCCAAAGAAATTGGTTTAGTGCCATAAAAAGTTTATTTTTATTGATAATTATGAACAATTCCTGGATATCTGGTCCTTTTTTTATACTGATAATTTGTTAACCAAAAAGTTCCATTTTGTTTGATTAGGTATGGAATGAAATATAATGAAAATTGGGTGAAAAATTTTCCATTATGAATTTGTTATATCTCTGTTTGGATAAACTGTTTTTATACCATTGTTTCGAAATTCATAGTTTTATCTTTGATTTTTTTCAGTGTTGCTGCAATTTCATCTTTAGTTGGAGAAAATTTACGAAAAGCGGATATGAATCTTAAAACTGTTACAGATTCAAAAATAGTTGAATCTTCTAATTCAACTAATATTACTTCTAAAATAGTAGAATCAACCACTGTCGCCAAAGATATTGGTTTAAAGTGCCATAAAAAGTTTTTATTTTTATTGATAATTATCAATAAAGTAGAATTTTATTTCCTTTATTTTGGTTTTGAGGAGATCTGAGAATTTTTCTTTTATTTTGGTTTTCAGGGAATCAGAAATACATGATTGTCAAACTTATAAACTAATCTCAGATAAAATTTACCCATCCTTGCTTGAAGATAACAGTAGTACAGTGGACACCAAATTCCGAACAAATATTTTTAATAATGGCAGGTATTAATTATTTTTCACGATTTTTTCTGTTTAATAAATAATTGTTTAATCCATTTTTGATTTGGAATTAATTCAATTTAGCTTCAAATTTTCATTTATATGATTTGATTTGAAGGATTTTTGAATAGTAATTTTATTTTTGAGTTTAACATCTAATTTGTCTACTATTTGAAAAATTAAAAACTGAAGAACAGCAAAAAAAGCAATAAAATCCAATTAAAATAATGGCATTTTAATGTATAATGTTTGTGACAAAATTTCTTGTTAGGATTGACACCGCTGTCAGTTCGATATCAAATATATATCCTTCGCTGGCAACAACTGATAATGATCAGGATGATCTCTTAAGTGAAGCCCAATTTCTTAGTTTTTACCGCAATGATTTGTATGAGGCTGTCGATGATTTTGTGAAATCTTTTGTTCAGGTTTGTTCAAGTTTTATTTCCAGTTTTTTTTGTTTTTTACTTTGATGCTACATTTTTTAAGGTTATAATATTTTAGGAAAAATAAAGTCGTGCCATATTTTTACCTAATATTTTGTTAAAAATGATATTTATTTTTTTTTGCTGATTATCTTGTTTGCAGAACGAACTGCATCCTCAAAATTCACTTTTCTCATATCTCGAGAGATATAAGGGAATTTGCGAACGTCATTCCTTTAATGAAATTGAAATTTTGTCGTGTGAAGAGCAAATGAAAACATGTGCTCAATTTATTTGGACAGTATCAGACCATTTCATAAAAAAAGAAGTGTGCTTTAAAATTTTAATTCCTTTTTTTATTTAGTTTCTACATTGAATTTTTTTCTCATATGCTTAATTTTACTTTTTTATAGGGAAAATGTGGTGATCAGAGAACGGCTTCAGGTCTTGCAAAATATTCGAAGGCAACGTTAAATAAAAATATAACGAATGAAATGAGAAATTTGCTAAGGTTTGACCTCGTATCTCAGCTCGATTCCTCATTGAGCATACAAATTGAGGTTTGGAACATTGCTTAATGAAAATAAATTCAAAAAAATTCAAAAAATATTTATGTGAAGTGCTATATCAAAAGTATTTGGAAAATGATGAATGTAGGGAAATGGCGACGATTTCATTATATTTAAAATAAAAAAAAAATTATATTTAATACATTTCAGCTGAGATGTGTTGTATTGCAAATAGAATGGAAAATTACTGAAATTTGCCATAATTTTTGCATTACGCATCAAATTGAATATAAATCTCCTCCTCGATGTATTTTTTTCAATTTTTATTTTTATTAGTCGAATATTTATTTTTATTTTATTTGTGATTAAATTAAATTTAATGTATTTCTTTCTTAGATGTTCAGAAATTAATGGTACTCAAAAAGACTGTTTTCGAAGAGCTGTAGATTCCTCCTTTAACCATTATTTATTTAAATGCATTAAAGATTAAAGGCCTCTGCACAGAGCAGTTGGTTTGGATTATGCTAAAACTGGTCATTTCTTGGAAATTTAATAGACAATTTTTTAAAATCATATCATATCATGTAATGGTTGAGTTCTAGCATCTATTATATTGTGCATTATTATTGCCAAATAATTATTACAGTATTACAGTATTGCCAAATGGATCTGATGAAAGCACTATTGTTCTACGTGGTGCTCTTGCTGATATATTTTATTTTCTTCGTTTTCCTGCTTTAACTCCTCGATTTTCAAAAAGTTTAGCGACCTGGGCTTCTGATTTGGTTTTTTTTCTAAATATAATATTTTTCTCTTAATTTATTTCTGATTTTTGTTTTCGTGTGAACAAAAACTAAAAGAGGATTGAAGATGATTGAAGATGTGCATGAAGATAAGTTTTTATAAAATTAAAAATAATAAAATAACAATTACAACTATTTATTTCCTAAAATTGACCTCATTCTTCTCGTAAAACATCGTAAAGAAAGAACTTATATGATGACCTCTGGAATACTGTCACATTCATCACCTTCCAAAGCACTACTCTGTTGAATCGAAAGCAGCTGCAAAGTCGATGAAACAATTGACGGTGGGTTGCTGATATTTGAAGCAATGTTCCAAACATCCTTCTCAAAATAAATATCTGGTCAGCACAACCTCTTCCCGATCTGAATCCTTCTATTTACTATTACTGGCTAGACTTCGCTGGCTTGTCGCATTGGACAAATATGCCAGAGAGTCCCTTGGCGATAGAAGTACAGGTGAGTCATTAGCATCATCCGGATTTTAGGTTTACTCCTGCATGGAGTTGAACCTCAGCATCGGCGTTCCGAACTTATAACAACGCATAACAACGCATTGAGTCTATTCCTTAGTGGTTCGCAGTTGCAAATATATGGTTGACGAACGAATCAGCTATATCCGAATAACATGATTGTTAAAGAATTTTGAAGAATTAAAGAATTTTATTATTCATTAAGGAATTTTATTTTTCATTTAGAATTCATTAAGGCCTTAAGGCCTTGAAAAATTTTTTCCACCTTATGAGACGATCCTTAATATTCTTAATATCCTTAAGCCCACCATTACCATCATTTCGCAGACCGCAGTTGCAGCTGTTTTATGCAGAAGGCGAAATAGTTTCTTATTACACTCTAATAGAACTGCCACTTCTTCTCAAGGGCATATTAGCGATTTTTATCTTACCATGTCGTTGTAATTCTTCGAAGCATCCGATATTCAAAAATTCCTGACATTCTTTTCAGAAAGCAGGACAGTTATTTCTAATACTCCTAGCTTGGAAATGGCTGACTTTCGGAGACATTTCTTTAGTTAGGGCCACTGTTCATCATTCTTGGAAAGTCGTTAGTATTTGTACCATTGCGGTGTTTTCAATAATTCAATTTGAAATGCGCTTATTGTGCACGAATTTTTTAGTTTAAGATAATTGAAAGATCTTGGGAGACGCTGTTCCTTGCGAGTTGTCGTTGAGAGGAGAGAGGAGATTCGAGGGAGAATGAATCGACCATGTGATTAGAACAAGATGTCGGACTAATGAAACTACACTCCGAAAGGGAAACAATTCACCACTTGATGATCTAACTATCTATTGTCTTACCCAAGCAATCCGAGAAGGATCTCAAATTTATAGATTTTATATATATATATATTTTATATATACAACTAATAATAAAATAGAGAATAGAAACCGTAATTGTTAATTAACAAACTCAAGTTAAAGGGAAACGCTGTTTAAAAACCCACAACTCGACATTGAAACAAAGCAATACCAACTAAACAATACAAAACAAAACTCCCTACAAAACAAAATCAATACAAAACAAAAATCGCCAATCGCCGAATCTATAGTGTTTCAAAAAAAACATTTTGGTATGCAGAATGGTTAACCACTTATACGTAGAAAAACTACATTTATCTGATTACAACAATAAAAATACTTGATAAGTATATAGATAAAATATTTCTTGGTTCAGACCATAATTTGGTCAGATCTATGAAGGTTTCCCATTTTAGCACCGTGATAGGAACTACTATCTAGTACCGAACTCTTCCAACGGCGTATAATCAATCTAAATTCGGAAATATGTATTAGTAATAAAGTTATAATAGAAATATGTATTAGTAATAATAAAGTTTTTGCTCTTTTGCAAAACGTTCTCCATGGACACATTGGGCCTCGATGCTATATTTGCCAATTATCGAGTTCATTGTGGTGGTATCGGGATCTGCACGCGCATTCCAATTTTTCCGGATAATGATTATCACCTTTCAATGAAGTTATTAGTTAATAGTTGAATTTCCTCATAGAACTTATCATTGCCTTGATCATCTGTGTAAATTTGGAGCATATACACTAATGAAATATCGAAATATTGCAGAATTTTACTTTAAAGCGAATCTGGGCCATACGATTGTTTGCTGGCTTCCACTCAATCAAAACGAATAGGCTTCTTCAAATATGATAATCACTATGTTATTTCGCCTCGAGTTATCCGAAACACCATAAAGCCAGCATCTTTACTCAGAGCCAGCAATTGCTCGAGGCCCGAAGGACATGAACCTTCGGCAAGCAAGCGATATCCACATGACACTTAGAAAGAGTATGGACAGTGATCGCTTGGCTTGCAACATCCGTAAGCGTTCTGACCTTCCACGCTGATAAGGCTAATATCCATGCAGTGTGTGCGGAGAACCGTTCCTCTTGGTAGGTTTCGATTATTCTGGCTGGAAAGCAACCTACCTCTTATATTCAAGAATCGTTCCGAACCTATGTTACTATGTCCAAATTGCATATTTATCACACCTACGACTGTGCGGTGGGTATCATGCGAATCAAGAAGAGACCCTTTCTCCACAGCGCCACTTGTGGATAGAGTAAAGGTGGGTCCCCAGCAGCCATCCGAGGCATTATAATATATTGATAAGCCGTTAAAGTTTGATTCCAATAAGAGAGTCTGTGAATGTGAAATCCGAGTGTTGCTGTGGACTTGCCAATGCCTCTGGTTGTAAACTAACTATTCCTTGGCAAAGGGAACATATCCTGCAGTTAATAGCCAAACCAAAAACTGGCTTTTTATAATGAGATGAGAAAAAATTGAAAAAAATTTTGGTAACTGACTTTTATTAAATAAAATATTAATGAAAAGATCGCTTATTTGAGAAAAAGATATAATATCGGACTGAAATTGCATAAATGCAATCAGCTTTATCATTGAGCATTCATTTGGAGCTGTCATCTTGAATTTATGTGCTTGCTCGTGAACCAAAGGTACGAGAACGCTCGATTCTTGGTGTTTCATATGGATATGGATCTCTCATTTCTTCTTCGAATCGTCTACCAACATCCAAAATTGAGTCGAAAATATATCCACTTAATGTCGCTTCATTATCATTTTCGGGTTCGTTTGAATAAAAACGTTGTGCTTGAATATTCGCTTTATTTTCAGAACTTTCAAATGAAGCTTCATGTAAAATTGGTTCACAGTGACTGCATGTACCTTAATAAAAAGAGATCATGCCAATCATTCCAATAATAATAGAAGTGATCATCATATATTTTATAATGGATCTAGAGAAAGAAAAATCGTAATAAGAATAAAACAATAGGCTCTTAGTATTACCGCTTAATCCTGGTATTCCTACTACTCCTGCCGGGCCAGGGGCACCAACATTTCCATCGGATCCTCGTTCACCCTGTTCACCTCTAACTCCTTTTTCACCTGATAAACCAGATTTACCATCGCTATAATTAAGAATTATAAATTATTATTGTTTAATCGAATTAAATTATAAAAAATTTACGGGATGTTAAGTAAAAATTCTAATAATTTTTAAAATTTTCAAGTGGCAGTTTTTTTGAGGAAACAGATAGTAAGTCCATGTAAATCATATAAATATAAAATTTTCATCAAAATTCTATTGGATTTGCAAAATTTTTGAATAATATTTAAAGGTTGTAATTTAAATTGTTCATCAAATTAACAAATAAACATGGCACAAAAATTCTTATTTTCTTATATTAAGTAATACTCACCGCCCACGTGATCCCGGGAGTCCTCGTGGTCCAGGCAATCCTTAAAATGCGTTACACATTTTAATATACTTTTGCAGACTTGATAAATCAAATTAATTGCATGTTCAACAAGTCATTTTTTTAAAAAAATTGATTTAATTTATCTTATAATTTCTTGGAATTTATTTAAGATCACATTATTATGATCACAATTATCTATTCGTGAATGATATAAACCTGGTGGTCCGCGAGGTCCTGGTGGTGCTCCATTCAGTATTTTACCAAGGTCACCTGCGGGACCTTTTTTTCCTATTTCTCCAGGAGGTCCTCGAATCCCAGTTGGACCTGGCGCTCCACGAGGTCCAGGTTTTCCATCAATGCCGGGAGCTCCTGGCTGTCTATATTTGAAATTTTCATTTCTTTGCTCGTAAGGCCAATGGCCAAAAATAAAGAAAAATATAAAGAAACTTTTAACTAATTGATCAGAAATTTAAAACTTGCGCTATGTTTAGTATATGTGCCAGAAATGCGCTTCGTTTAAATCTCTCTCCAATTCTTTTACAGAAAAAGTCGACTAAAATCTTCGAAATCGCCAAATCATAACCGAAATTCTCGCAAATTAAAAATTCTCTCTGTTCATATAAATCTTATTCTTAGCTTGTGGATTGATTTCCGATGGAAAGGTGTCATTCGAACATATTTACATATTCACATCATTTATCATTATTAGCTGCTCGAAATCACTTTTGTTTCTAAGTGCCTCTTTCTCTTTTTCCTTTTTTCTTCCACTCTTTATTAAATTTCTTATCAAATCCCTTATGTCCCTATCCCTCTAAAACTTCTCAAAATTCACTCGACAGCCTCAAATGTTCAAAGCTTAAACATAAGCGAGGAAATGGCAGATTCATCCTTAAATGCTATCCAAGTAACTGTCTTTCTTTTGTTCCTTTCTCAAATCCTGTTATTTCTCCTCAACTACCTTGAAATCTCGATATATTCTTTTGTGAAATTCTATTAAATCCTCTTACTTTTTATACTTATACTTTTTATACTTCTTTGACCGACTCAGTCTCAATTTTACCTCCAACTTTATTGTTATATTCACATAATACTCAGACACTTCCATAATATCCAATTAAGAATATTTTAAAATTCCTTATTCTCTCTTAAGATGTTTCTAAACTTTTCTCTTGGCTCTTGTCTCTTTCCAAATTCCTTTGCATTTTTTAATTACAGTTCCATAACGATAGCGCCTTAGATGGCACCAATGATATTTTTTTCAGATCCTATTGCCACTATGATTTCAAATTCCAACATCCTTAAATGCTATCCAAGTTGCTAAATTCTCTTGAAATCCCAGCAGGCTCCATTAAAATTTTTTCTTTGCTTCTTCTGTAATATATTCCTTTTGCAAAAAACTTATTTTTCCTGTCGATCATTACAATATTTAATTGAGCAATTAATTTTAAATAAAATTTGACATAAATTTGTAAACATGTAAATTTCAGACCTATCTTGGTCTTTAATGAAGTCTTTAATATAATGGTCTTTAATATAATTTTATCCGTCCTCAATTCTTTTAAATAGGTGCTTGTAATGTATTTTAATGAATAGCGAAATGCTTACCCTGGAGCTCCTCTTAGTCCTTTCGGGCCCGGAGGACCAGGTAGTCCTTGAGCAGCTGATGCACACTTAAAAAAATTCTGACATTACTTCTGCTTTTTGCTAAAACTTAAAATTAAAAGCTGGTTGAAGAAATATTGGTTTGAAAATATTTGTCGTAGTACTTGAATAGTATTGTAATAATAGGAATTGTAAGGTTTATTGTTTAGAAATAACGTAATTATTATATTTTCACTTGTATTTGCATGTAGTGTATAATTTCACTGGCTCTGCAGATTTCAAATGACCACTTGAACCTCATATTCTACGGTATTTTTCTTATGTTCTATGATTTATGGCCTTTGAAGCTTTATTACCTAAAATAGGGTATGAATTTTATTCTTTATTTAACACGGAGGATCCACATGAATGATGCTTGTATTATTTTTTCCCTACTCTATTTGGCGCTTATTATAACTGCTGGAGAATTATCGCTGGAAAGTTATCGTTTTATTCGTCGTCGTTACGCCACACTCACCGCAGTTTATGCAGAGATGTCGCAACTTAACAATAATTTGTACACTTCACGCATATCACTACATTACATTTTTTATATTTTTACATTATCTGTGAAATAAATATTGCAATCAAGAATTATTGTATCCACAAATAAAATTTTGCTGCAATATTATTTTTATTTTTATTTTTTATCTTTTTATCTTTTTTTTCAAATTCTTTCTTAATTTACGCCACAAAAGTATGTATTTTTTAAATTACGAAAAGAATTGGACTTTCGAACTCACCTTTTGGCAATACTTTTCAATTGATTGATCAGGTTCGATGTATTGACCTGGACGCCCATCCCGTCCTGATTTGCCTGGAAAGCCATCTTTACCTGCAAATATAAATGCATGAAAAGTTGACTTTTTGGTTTATAAGCAAACAACGATTTAGAATTGAGAGAAATAAGAGAGAGTGTGGCGGATTGGTGCATTCGTGAATTATCATTTAAAGAAAAATCATGCATTTTTAGATTATTGGGACCATTTGTATTTTAACTGCAACTGACTCTATTGCAAACGATCTCATTCTAAGAATATAAGTGCAATAAATTGAAATAAAAGTAATGAAAGTAGAAAAAAAGTGAAAAACTAAATTCTCATCCCCCTACCAATTTGCAAAGCACAAAAACTCGCATTACCATCTGATCCAGGTTTTCCAGATGTTCCTGAGGGACCAGTTGATCCTTGCTGACAACTGCAACCTTAAATTTATTACGAATTCAGGAAAAATTCCCAAAAAATTTTTTTTTGCTGATTCAAACAGTTATTTAACTGTGGTTTAATTTAAGAATCAGTGCCAAATTTACCATTGCTGTTAAAATGAGTATAAAAACAAATTAAAGTTTTTGCGAAAATATTCAGTGTTAACGAATGATGGCGGAAATTTCCATAATCGCAAATGAGGTTCATATCACTTTTATTCAATTTATAAATAACTTAAAAAGATCAAGCCTTAAATCTTATAGCAAACTTCATTATAAAAGAACAGTCCTTAATTCTAGGCTAATTCATGCATCTATCAGTCGTTGCTCAATCGACCCTATTTAAATTAGTAATAAATGATAGCATATAAATGGTTCATATATTTTGAGAATTCTTGGGGATAAAATATAACAATTTACAGCTTATTCCAGTATTACGTTGGCTTTGAAATGGCAGAATTTGACGAATTTTGCGATCCTGCATTCCAAATTGTACAATTTGCTTCCACAGATCACTACTATCTCTCTAAATTTAAGATAATGCACTTAATCAGCCATCGTGCATTCATAATTTTCCAGGATGCATTCTCGGGAATTTACTGCCCAGATTTCGATAAAAGAAAATTAAGTAGCAAATAAATGAAAGAAATTAAACCAGAAGTTGAATTTCAAAATATTCAAATTCATGCATAACTAGCAGTTTTTTTTATTTTGGATGTAATTTCTCAATGCACATCTTTCTTAAAGGAATTCCATTGTTAAATATCATCATCAGTAATGGAAAAAGGCAAATATGCAAAAGCAACTGACTAATAATTGATACAACACATTTTATAAGGAACCTAATACACAATGGTTCAAATTATGATGCTGAGTTGCAAGGATAAACCATATTATTAAAAAATATGGGCAGTGCTCTCGGTCCACTAATCCCACACCAAGTAGTTAGCTGATAAAAATTTAATCACACTAATATCCAACAGAGTTAAGCTAGCCAGAAATGGTGAAATGTGCACAGTTATTTAGTTTAAACGACAAATTTGCTTATTTCACCTGACATTGATGAAGCACTGATAGCATAGAGGTATTTTTTCGCTGAATGTATGAAAACAAAATCGGTAAAATTATAATAATGGAAATGATAGTGATAATTGAAATAATTGAAGAAATCAGAATAACTTGCTGACCTGGTTTCATACCTACAAATATCATAACTGATCATTCATAACGTAATTTTGACCTAAATGACCCTTGTTTTGCCTTCTAATTACAGTCCTTGTCCTTGAATTATCGTTCTCATCCTTTTCAATAAATGCAAAATGAATAGTTTGTAAATGTTTAAAAAAAAAATTAAGTTTGTAAATAGTTTAGTTTGTAAATTTAGCATTGAAAATAATTGAGAAAAATCGTAGAATTAAGACGAAATGAAGATGATTTGGTTCAGTGATGATGCAGTGGTGTAAAGATTTACTAAAGATTTACTTTGAGCAAGAGCATGTAAGATTCAATTGTTTCTTCAGTCTAATTATTAACCAGTTAACACATATGCTCAGCTGATTCAGTAAAATTTTCAACGAAAATTTCGCGAAAAAATGCACTCGATTAGCACACATCATATTTTTTTCACAATTTTTATTCTAGATTTTTGATTCTGATTGACGAGTGCAAAACGTTGTAATATATTGTCTATTAAGATAAATAATGATTATTTTTTGATTTATAAAATACTGGCTTCAGAATTTGACCAAAATATTGTTAATAAACTGTGGAACTACATTATTCAAATTTTTTATTTTTTTGTGAAAAATGATATTTATAAGAAAATGAAGAAAAAGAGATAAATATGACTGATAATTCCAATAATAAGATTTATGAGAAAAGAAAGAGAGAAATTTGCCTCAAAAATAATCAAATTCTTTTTCATGAATAAGTTGAAGCCTGTTTGTAATTATCTTTATTATTGTATTTTTTATTGTAATAAACGATATCATATAATTTAGAAACTTTAGAACTTGTTTGTCAGCCTTGTGAATAAATTCCTTAGCTTCAAAATTTTTATATATAAGAGAGATGTTGGAAGGAATCAAAAAGACTTAGCCCAAAATCTTTTGCGTAATCTGGAAATTAAAATGTTCACTCTATTACCTTTTCTTCTTACTTTCTTATTTTCCACATTTACAGCAAATGCCTCAGGTGAATGACTTGCGATTTGTTTTTTCCTAATATTAAGATTTTCAACAATTTTTAAAAAATTTTCATTTTTTTCTAGAAGCTAAACTTCATAATCAAATCTTTCAAGTAGCTTGTAAAATTTTTCTAACAATAGGCTTTATTAAAGATATTTCAATTGCTCTTGGAATATCACAGTATACTATATATTATCGTTTGAGTCGTTTTTGCTTAGATTATCATCTTGAAACGTCAGGGTCCTCTGACAGAGGTTGTTAAAAATCTGGAAGCTAAACTAGCGACTCCCCAAGTAATTAATTTGCGAAAATTTCCGCTATATTAACACTTATAATGGAATGAATTTAATCAGTCAGAAATAGTGAGAGCTGATCATTTACAATAAATCCATTAGCAATAACAATGTGGCTTTTTTTAAAATATTTTTCACAGGTGGTTGGTGGGATCGATGGAATCGCTCTCCCTCTTGGTCATGGAGTCCTGAACACAAATTTGATCATGATCATGGGCATGAATATAGCTATAAACATGGACATGAACATGGACAGCATCATGGTCATGGACATGGCCATTTACATGAACACAATGGGCATTATGGTCACGATTATGAGCATAGTTATAATGATAAACATATTGGCGATTATGAACAAGCTGGAGCTCATGGATCGAAAAGTGATTGGGGTAATTACAATTATGGTGGCCATGGTGATTATTTGAAAGAACATTCTTATAAAAAAGGTTATGGGCATGCTGACGGTGAAGAACACGGAGATGATTGGGGACATCATAAAGGACATCATCATAGCAATCATGATGATGGACACCATCACCACGGACACCACCATGGACGCCATCGTGGTCATCATTTTGATCCAGATTGGTATTAATTGTAATTTTAGCTGTTGTTAAATAAAAATTTTGAGATGCCGCTCGAAAATAATTTAATAAATATTCAATATTTAATGAATATGAATACCCGAATGAATAAAAAACAATCAAGCATAAATACTTTTCGTAAACACCTTGAAAAAATAAAATTCTGAGTAAATGGTTATCTTGAATGTTCACTTCCATAATTCATCGTAGTAAAACTATTAATATTTAACAAATGGAACAAAACTATGACTAATATAGTGAACGGAATTGATAAATGATGGAATGTGTTGTATTGGATCATTTAATGCCGTCATCAAAAAGCCGAAACCTCGCCGAATTAAAACAAGAATGTCGTAGACAATTTTTTGCGCGAAATGGCTTTCAATTTGCGAAAAGCAAGAAGCAAGTATGCCATCAGTAATAATTGAACCTTCGATAGTCATCGGAGAATAGATTCCTTTCGAATATTTTCGGCCGACCTATAGAATATTTGATAAGTTGCTGCAATTCCCAGTAAGTAGTTTCAATTCAACTAGACAATTTAAAAGTCAAGACAACTTTATCAGCTTCATTTATTTTATCTATTAAATTTGCTACTACATTTTCATCGTCGCAATATCTAAAATAATAATTCATGAGATTCACGAGAAATTAATGAGTGATAAAAGAAACCTTTTTTCCAGAATTTTGCTAACATTTCCCTTTATATATTATATATTACAAAAGAGCATATAAAATAGTTCTTTACGAATTTCTCTTTCTAGAAGCCTTTTTAAATGGTGGGACAATGGCTAGCATAGGATTATCTTCAAAAAACGATAATGGCGAACTAAGCATACCAATTCATAAAAATTTATCAAATTTATCAAAAAATTTAATTTATCAAAATTAAATTTTTTCCTATTTAACTAATTGGTTTAATCAAAAAATTAAAATTTGCTCGAAATTGGAAAATTATGGGGGAAAATTGAAAGCAAAGCAAAAATAACTTCAAGACTTACTTTAATTATGCGATCTACTATCAATTCGGTATTTTGTACAGAAAATACACATTCACCAATTTGAGCTTTATAAGCAAAACGTGATTTGTGCATCCATTCTTCAATATCAGTCATATCCATCAAATTTTGCCTCATTTCTTCACAATTCCCACTTGGAATAAGATGAAGTTCTGTAAGGCTAAGCTTTCGTCCTGATTCTGTTTCTATTACGACGAATTTCGCTCGTACATCTGGCCGGCGATGATAGAACATTTCAATTCGCTCGTATCTTAACACCCTCTTGCTCGCTGGAACCAGCACCTTTAATGATTTCTATAATTAACATTTCCATTAGCATAAATAAGCGGAATAAAAATCAGCGATGTAATTTTGGCGAAATTCCTTTGTAATTATAGAAATGTAAAAAAATGGAAAATCTATGCATAGCATTACTAGTTGGTGCTGACAACCTACAGTACTTTTGATGCAAAATGGCTACATAATAAAAATTCTTCACCTTACATAGCTTAACCAAAAACGGTAGGTGTTAAGCAACATTTCTTAAAGCTGTTATAAATGTGCCAATAATAAAATAGAAATAAAAAATTTACATAATCGCCGATTTCGAGTTCACTCATTAATTTTTCTCCTGCATGAGTAAAAACTTTAGTATCTGCACTGAAACAATTTTTTTTAGAACCCAGATCGCTGGCATCATTGTCAGGAGTAAATAATGAAACTGGTAATGATGCTGGACCACTCGTTGCCGCTGTTTGAACGATTTCATCATGTGTCACTTGCCCTCTGCTGTTTTTAGGAACTACCGCGGAATCACTTGCTACGGGTGATGGTGGCGACGTACTAAGAGATGAAATGCTCTCCTGAAGGTAGTAAGACTATTAAAATTTAACCGCTGACACTATCAATACATGGCTATAATGTGCTACTGCTGAACGCTTATATTGATTAATGCAATAACAAAAGTTGTATTAAAAAGTTGTATTAAAAAACCAAAAATGCAGTTAATATGCAAAAATGTAAAAAAAATTCAGAAAACGTGAATTATCATATGGATATTAAAGTTTAGACCACAGTAAGAGAGGAGGAATAAGATGGAGAGATACTATATATACAACATTCTGCAAAACTGCACCGATTAACGAAGTAAGAAAAAAGTTCGATATGCGGAATTTAAGCCTAAAATTTCACAGTACATGGCTAAGACCTTCGTTTTCTAATTTTTGGAATGCCTTTTGCAGACGTATAGATTAGCATAGCTAAATTATTGTATAAATAATGATAATTACAATATTATTATAGGTGCAGCTATTTCCCACAGAGATATTTTTATTGTACAATAAAAGATTTTCGCGACGTTTATCATTAGGTTCTCGTAGCGGGAATGTTACTGCTTGCTATCGATTAAAACAAACAGATTCACTAGGGCAAAAAATTTACTTTGCACCATCTTAAAAATTTATAAGCTGGCATTGATAAAGAAATGACAAATGACAAAATCCAATTTTCTTTCCATCAAATCAGAAGAAGAATTCGAAACTGATGCCTGGAATATCTTCTATCCTATTCATCTACCACGCTGTTCATTTTTGCCAGCACGACGAGTAAAATTCTTTATTGAGAAATATATCCTCAGAAATCGAAAAATTTTATTACTCTTGCTATTCATTTCGAGAAAAATTATATCTGATTTAGGTAAACCGCTGATTCGACGAGAAAAACAATAACAATTTACTTTTTTTGGTCAAATTAAATAAATAATCTGAAATAATTCATATCGCTCGCACGTATAATATTTTCTTCATCGTCCATATTAGATATTTCTTAGTCAATTTTCGAGAATTAGTTAAATGTGGAAATCACTTAAATGTGGAAATCACTTGAATGATGAAGGCATTTAGCTTTCAAGAAAGCAAATATTTGCTCGTTTCCATCAATTGACTAAAAAGTATCTAATAAAAATACTTATTTATGCTTATTTTAAAAATTTCAAAAATATTCTTCCAGAGAAATTTGAACTTATAGTTATCTCAAATTTTTATCAAAAAATGTTACGTTCTTAGGTATAAAGATTGATATTGATATTGAAATATATGAGTTATAGATGAATTATTTCATGCAAAACATTTTTAAATTTAACATTAAGGCTTTACCTCGTCTAGCGGTTTCATTCGTGGTATACCGATATGGCTTTTGTGTAGTTTCGATAATTTCCCAGTTTCTGGTTCCATTTTTTCAAATCTTTCATCGCTTGAAATTCTTCCTCGTTCTGTAGATACAGAATGCGGAAGAATTGTCTCGCAAATTCATTTTCTGGTCTTATCTAATTAATTTATAGTCGAATTCTCAACTTATTTTTGAGATATAATATGAACGAGACTGTTTGCCTGTATATCATTCTTTTTCGTACAACCTATAAGGGAACCTACCTAGTATCATAATCATAATCTCTACGATTTAATTATGCATAAAATTCTGCCAATAAAAAAATTCTATGTTTTTCATCTCAGATTTTGGTTAATTAATTTTTTTCAAAGCCAACTTCCAATATGTATATACCCAGATTTTTCATATGATTTTCTTATGCGAAAACACCGACAGGATTTCACTTTTAATGACAAGCTTACTTTATTCAAGGAACAGGAATCAGTCCTATCATTCATAAAATGTTCATGGTGAGAAAAAAATCCGGCTGATTCGCTAAAAGTCGTCCTATTGGGCAAAAAATTGGATTTTTTGAAAGTTTAAATAGATTCTAACAATTCATTACCTTCTCGTGAAGTGTTATCAAGTTTAGATGTTTTCACTACCGATGGTTTCTTCATAGAAGTAGAAACCTTTAACGAATCATTTTTTTTCCGCATCGGTCGTTCATCATAAGCGATTTCCTCAATTTCACTGTTTTTTTTTCTAATATCAGCCCCAGCATCATCAATTACTATTTTTGTTTCCTTTCTACCGTTATAATTCTCTAGCGATTCGGTTTCTTTGGTTCGCTTATAAGATGTTCCCGGTGCTTCATTCTCCTTGAGCCGTTCCACTAGGTTTTTAATTATTTCCTTTAATCGGTTCAGAAAACCACCAGCGTTTTCATTGGAAGGAATTTCGAGTAAGCTAATGTTTGCTTCTTTATTATTTATTGCTTCTGATCGAAATCTATTACCATCTCCAAGAATTTTTTGATCGCCATCGGACCACATCGATCGATTCCACGCCAACCATCTATAAATTAAATAACTGAGTTCATTTATAAATTATTTATTTTTTATTATTCGTCAGTTGGCTCTCTTCTTTTTCTTTTTTTCTTCCCTGCAATCTTTAATTCTCTTCCTTTTTTACCACTTTTGAATGCAATTTTTTGAAATTAATTGAAAAAAGAAAGTTATCGAGAAGCAACGACTTTTTGGTTTATTTTAGATGTTTAAGGACTATTTTAATTTTTTTGGTCACAATTTTCCAAATTCAAGCAAAAATTATTCGCAATTATAGCTCGAAAAAATGGAGTAAAAGGTTATCAACTTACTGGCCAGAAGACCAAGCGGACCAGCTTGCGATTAACCACTCATTTTCCCTGATTAAAGTTCTTAAATTTTCAGGAGTTTTTGGTGTATTCAACAATTTCTGGTATTCTTTTTCTGTCATTCCATCAGTTTCTTCTCTTTGCTTGTTTGAACTGCCAATATCCGAAACTCTTTCACTGTGCGAGTCTTTTTTAATATCGGAATCTTTCCCCACTGATGATTGGAAACATTTTACGCGACATATTTTTACATAATATCCGTCACTTAAAAACAAGAAAGATTTGAAAAATTTATTTTAACCAAAATTTAACCAAAATTTTCATAATATAGAAGCAATGCGCTAAAGGCTGTTCCAAAATTAAGCAATTTAATTTCTAGTTTTTTCTCAAAAAAATAGAAAAGTTTCATTACGAAATATTATTGCTTACGTTGTTTTTCTTATTGCCTTTACAATGAGTGTGGAAGGTGATTTATTTTTCAAGAGAAAAAGCCTCAATCTATATCCAGAATATCCATCAAACTGTTCAGGTAATTGATTCGCTTTATGCAATAATGTATATTCTTCATCATGCGCTACTGATTTGTCAAATTTTGAAATATTTGTACCATCTGGTATTTCATATAAAAAGCAGTCACTATCATCGTAAACGTCTACCGAATTGTTCCCAATTTTTCCTGGTTTACAACACGTATGTATGACCCTGAAAAAATTTTCGAGTAATATCCACTTCCTGCACTACTCGTGCTATCAATATTATTTAGATTTTTCCAGGTTAAAAGATATTGAATTTCCTGATAAATTTATGATTGGTGTCGGTTATTCAATTTGAGTTTACAGATGTTAATTAAGAGATATAAAAAGCACATACGGACGAACTGGATCTAACTGATCAATCTCTGCAACGAAATTTGCTTTGCCTTCGCAATTCGATTGATTTTTGTTATATTCACAATGCTAAAGCAAATGTATTTTATATACATGTAAATAATAATTTTGTAAATAATATGGATTGAATTAAAATAAAAATTCCTTTTGAGAAATTTACATAAGATTTAAATATTATTTATTCATTTCATAATTTAGCTGAAAATATAGTAATTTTTTATGTCTCTTATCATCATCTCTAAGAATCTATCAACGACTTCATTTAATTCCATTGGAATATAAGAGAAACAATTTACAAAAGATAATTCACTACTTTTTCGATCAATCCATTATTCCAACTTTTCTTCTAATAGATCTCAGTTTGGTCGGTTCCACTGATTATTAGAGCAAGGCCCTTTCACTGCAGAGCTATTTGAGAATAGAGGTATAGAGAGATACGAAAAATTATACGAATTAGCCCGTCAGTTAAATGCCGATTTGGCATTCGATTTATTTCATTTTATTCATTATACGGTCGGTAAGTAACTATTCGATTTTCAAAATTGTGGAACAAAAAAATCAACTATTCACAAAAAACAAAATAAATGTGAATATAAACTACGCACAAATCCATTTTTTCCACAAAAATTGAGTCGCTGGCAATGCATTCGTATCGTATCATTCCCAAAGCTTTGCACTATAAGAACTTGATCATCAACGCATTTATAAGAAATTGCTATAACTAGAGCTGGGGCCAACAACAAAATGAGTAAAGTAAAACCCATTCCTTTCTGAAAGATAAAAATCATAATTAAAAATTTTAAATGCGAGGTTTATTTAGCTTCAGATTTGTAAAGCGACAAAATGGACAAAATGTATGGAACTCATGATGTAGTAACACTAAATCACTAAATCTTTCGCAATCAGGATAGGTTTCTTGGGAAAATTGCTTTATTTTATTAGACAAGAGTAGATAAAAACCAGCAAGACAATTTGAACTTTGAACTTTTTTCAACAGGCCACCAAATATTACCCCTACCGTTATTGTTTACTAATATGAAACCCTCTTGCCAAATTATCACTTGGAATAAAAATACTGGTTGATTCCTGAGTGATGGTAAAATGGTATGGTGTTTCGATTTGCGTCGAAGCAGCAGCACGAGTTTGATTTCCTAAGTCTGACAACACTAAATAACTAACATACGCCATAAAAAAATCTAAGACGATGCTCGTGAGTCATAATCCTAGACAAGTGTCTTTA